TTCCATACCTTGGCGTATTGCTCTCGGGAATGAATTCTGGGGGAATGAGTTCTTATCAGTGTACCAAAACGATAGATCGGAGAAGGAATCGAACGCTTCATTGTGTAATTTTCCTATATATCGCTAGATGTTCAGTGTAGGTGGTCGATGGGGCGGGTCTGAAAGACGCTTTCTTATCCGAAGTCAGATTCCCATCCAACTGCCATGCGTTTCGATGAAGCGATCCGAGGCTGGATCCTGGCGAAGTCGCGGATATTACGATAGATTGAAGCTCAATGAAACCGTTCCCTTCTTCGGGTGGTGAGAACCCATCGTTTCCTCAAGATTCTGTGACGGGAACGATGGGATCATCACGCCAGACCTTCGATAGTAGTAATCGACCGTCGGGAGTGAAGATTTCGCCGGCGAATCGAAAACCCCGATGACGGAAACTGCGTACGCTCTCCGCTTGATGGAGGCGTTCGCCGAGAGGAATCCAGAGTTCCGTAGACTTCGGGAGGTTTTCTTTTACGCGAATCATTCGTCGATTCATCGAGAAATCGGAAGTGAATTGCCAGTGAGCGATTTCTTCGGCGTCCTTTGTGAATTATATCCACTAGAATGCCAAACCACGCCTTCCGAAAGAGGCAGCGAAGGAATTCGCGGATAATCAGGGCTGTACACTCCGACCGCTGTCTGAATTTCTGGAGGCATGTGTAATTCTTAACTTCCGTCACGAACAGACGCTAATCGAATGGGAATCTTCTCAGTGGAATCTAAAGCTCCGAGCTCTCGCAACGACCTTCTCACCAGAGCGACCCCCGGAGTTACCCTAGTAAGGTTATTCCACTTACCTGGTTTCCATTGCTAAGGGGACTCAGTAGTTTGTACGTTAGTACCACAGACATACCACAATCGATAACGTCATCGGAGGGATGTAACTGGTGGCGGAAGAAGCGAATAACCGGATCCGTATTCGATGAGGGACACTCCGCTCCGAAATCTTCTCTTGGTGAAATACACTGAGCTTATAGATTCGAAGCGAAGTCATCGAGACTGGATTTGTCATCGTGTCACCAATTCTCAAGCTGCGATGAAACACTTTCGATGGAAAATTCCTGGATCTACTGTAATCTGCCATCTGGCCCAGACCGGCGATCTGGAGAGCAGAGGTGACTGCTGAGGAAAGGATGCAAAAACTCCATCCGAAAACTGGTCCTGCCCCGAGAGACAACAAAGATCTTCATTTTTATAGCGGAGAAAATCCTCATCGGGAGGGCAAGGGAGCCGGAACGCTCTCTGTCCCCGCACTCCCCAATGCTGATAATGATTCTTTGAACAGGCATGCGTGTATCAAAATCGATTCTTAATGGAGCGTCAATTAGCCATCTTCCTGCCTCCAGATACGGATAATTAATCATTCATTGGCAGATAAAGTTACATAAGGGTTTCGTATCCGGATTCTGGACAGGTTTTCATCGAGCGACGCAATGCGAGGTCTTATTGAGCGCACGGCAAATTTTTTTGCGAAGCACCGTGTGTCACCCTCTCCCCGAGGCTATTCTTCGGCAACGAGGTTCAGGGGTTCTCAGCGGAAACAAGTTCCTCCCCTTCATCACGTCATCGCGGAACCTCCAAGCTGCCGACCGCCCCCTCCCGGTATAGGAAGGTAATCGGAGAGCACATGTCCCACAATCAATCGTTTAGGTCCTGTGTGTCGGCAGCCCTTCCGAGAAACGGTCTACAGTCTCGGAGGTCAGAAGTTTGACCGGAATTTTCATCTGTTCATTTTCGCAGCACTTTTTTCTCGGCTGCGGACAGTAGTGCGTATCAGCGACATACAGATGCTGCCGTAGGGGCTGATGCCGGTGGTCTCGACTTAGGATAAATTCCTTCAGCTGGGACGACGATGGAAAATCAGACTTCGCCAGGAGGCTCCTCGCACAGCACTCGATCTCGACTTGGAGCAAGTTTCGAAATATCAATGGAAACCAACGTCGGAAGTTTTCCGGCTTGAGCTTTTTGTCACGACAATGCCAAGAATGTTCGGAGCGATTTCGCTGTCCTGAGATTCCGAATCTCGAAATGCCAATCATTTCTCCTGCCTCCCTCCGCAAAAGTCGAGAAAGGCAAAGGGAGGTTACGCCGAACACGGACGCTGCGATTGGGGAGGAGAGAATTCGGGGAGACTGGATCGCGATTTCGATTCGTCCGCTGAAATCAGTTATTATGGGCCCGGCGCACGGATCTCGTTTCGTTTCAACGCCTTGTTGTTCCAGCTGATGTGCGAGGACTATTTCACCAGGCCTGATTCTGAACTCCTTCCCTCTTGAATCGGGGGTTTCACGAATTTTTTTCAAGATTTCTCAAACCATTTCCTTTTTTCCGGGGATTCCCCCCGAACAAGGCACAAGGAGTGCCGATAAGAAGTGTCCTCGCGTGAGAATGATGGTTCTGTGGGGAGAATCTCGTCTGCTTGAGGGAATATTCGTCGGAATCACGATAAGCAGCCTAGACTCCCCAAGCACAGATAGAAAACGTTCGCGATCGAACCATTTGATGTTGCTCATGCGCACTTGTGACCACGAAACTCAGATGGACGGTTGACTTCGGATACGTACCTCCATAGATATGCCGCTACGCCCCGCCAGCGAGGCACCCAGGCCAGGCAGCGATGAGTGCGAACCCGAGAACGGAAGTTGGCAACATTAGTCTCGTTTCCTGCCAGGGAACCAGGGCTGGAATCGCAATGAGAATCAGGACGGGAAGGTTTGGATAGTCGGTCAACTGACGCTTCGTAGGATCAAATGGACCAGCGGTGGCGGAAGCCTGGGCGTACAACTCTGATTGGGAGAATTCAACTGCGATGAATTAGGGTCATTCATCGACGAGGGAAAATGCGAACTTTCCCCCTTAAGGGAAGTTGCCCGCTAAAACATCGACACAGATTATCATAATTTATTCGCAGCTCTCGAAGGTCTCCCAACTCCAACGGACATCGAATGATGGGATCACAAAGTTGGGAGCCGAATTCTTTCCGACTTTTAGCATCCGTTGAGATTTCTCAAAGATACCGCAAACGCCGCTCAAGACCGTGCCCCCAGTTATGGGTCTTGGTGAGAAACACCATGAACATATTGCAAGGAAACTGGTCGGTCGGATTCGTGCTTACAAATTGAATCATTGTGATGTCGTTCCGAGCGGAGGGCGGCTCGACCACGGGACTTCGCGCTCTTGCTCAGATACATCACGTACAGATTCGGGCCACTCGCGTCATGCACGATATGAACATCATTGTCACGCTGGGAAGCCAAGCGTTCGATCTACACCGATCTCTCATTCGCTGTTGAACACGACACGATTCCTGAGTTGAAGTCGAGTATGTCGCTCTGCCGTCACAAAACTCCCGCAGAGTTCCTAGCAGAGAATTCGAATTCTGACTCATGATGATGGATATATCCGAGACGATCTCCCGACTCCTGACTCGATCTCTCAGGAAAGAAGACATGCTCTCCCAAACCCGGCTCAGGACAGGAACTCAAGACGGCTCTCCTAGAAGCGCGAATAATGAATGCAGCGTTGAGTCGTGCATGCGCTGCCTGCAACTGATCCCTGATGTCGACCTGACAATGATTCACCAGGCGCTGGGGCGATACGGGATCCGCCGCGAGAAACTCCATACATTTGTGTAATGAGTCGCGCGTCGCTCAGCTTCGTTCGCCCTGATGTCTGAGTCCATTCACGAATAATCTCGTATCAGAGGCAGTCATCGGCTCTCTGGAAGCGTGACTTGGTCACAGTAGTCACCTCTCCATTGCCCTTTGATTTCCATTATAGTGGCTCTTCTGGTAGGATCCAGCTCTCCCTCGCGATTCAATCGTAAACGAAGGATTGATCTTACACAAAATGAGAAATTCAGGGAATGGAGGAATAAGAAAGCGAATCGTCCACCGACCTGCATTCATGAGTCCGTTCAACCTGAAGTCTCGAGCTGCTTCGCGGAGCTCAACAGCTCCGTGAATATCCGCTCTTCTCAAATGCTGATCATTAAGGCTGGGAATTATTCATGGCGTTTTTTTCTCAAAAATCACGGCACTTCCGCCGTCCATAGACTATCCAGGACGTCCATGGAGGATTGCCTGAAAATCCAGTGAAGATTCACGGCTTCTGGCGCGACCGCGCTGAATCCTCAGCCTTACAGACCATCAAATAATTTTGACCTCGAGGGGGAGGGATTCTTATCTTCGAAGAGATGCGATTCCTATTCTGACAACATCATTGCGATGTATCAGGGGACCGTATTGCCTCGATACTCCCAGATACATCGATAGCTGTGGCAACCCCAGACCTGCTGGGAACCGATCGAATGACTCTTTCGCCGCCGTCTCGACGGCAATGATTCGGAGGAAGATTTTGTTCGAAGTAACTACCGTCATGTGACTGTTCACGATTTATAAATTATATTTCAGGAGAATACATGACATCTTGCTCGGTTAGGTCCGGCTCCTCTGCATAACGGATCGATTGACGGTGTCTGAGCGCGCCTCCGCGTTTTCTGACATTTACAGTGCTTCTTTCCCAGTGAGCGGAAACGACCCCGGATTTCCACCGGAGACTCTCGTCGGGCTCGGGAGGGAATTCCTCTTGAAGCATGATGCTCGCTATCGCTTGTATGAAATTCCGTTCGTGAATAAATGACTCCCTCGATTTTTCCATGTCGGTAGCAACAGCGCACAGCTCTTCGAGGGCATCCGAGCCGGATTTTTACTGTCTTCAGCATGCGATCCGTGACCAGTAACCGCCGTTTGGATCCTCAAAGGGAATAAGGCATCGGGAGCGCGAACAGCCGTGAGTGCCAGCTTGAAGTTCGGGGAAGATCCACGTCTCTACCCAGAATTGAATTGAATGGGGAGAGTTAGCGACAATGCGGGGCTTCAGTGCAGAGGAGCCTGGAAAGCAGATAATCCTGTCTCTCCGCTGTCCCTCTAGTCGGTCTCGGTTGACGCCCAATCGATAAGACAGTCAACGCTCTGCCGCAGGCAATTTGTCGATGAGCTCGCAAGGAGGAAGTGCCCCTGGATAATTTAATTCCCCCAACGTTTCCCAACATGCTCCCCTGAGAAGTGAACAGCTCAGAGCTGAAAGTTCCGAAGTGCTTGAACGGTGCGGTGAGAATCGGGGGTAGTTACAAGGTGGATAAACCATGCTGTCCAGCGTCGTAGACGGGGATGTGGGAATCGACAACGCAGCGTATTCTGCCACCGAGATGGACTCGATCGGTTACTCATACGGTTCGAAACTGATGGTGCATCAGGAATCTTTGACCTTGAGTACGTCAGTGAATCTCGCCCACACAGCTGAGATTTTCGGAAAATCAGGTCTGCCTGTTTCCATCGGTCCGAAAGGTTTGTTCAGAATTTCAATCACTCTAAATCAGCTGTTGGATCATTCTTCCACGGTTCTCGGTGTGACTCAGGACGCTTCCATAAAACTTCAGATCCATCGCAATTTCTAACGCCTCTATCCTTTCACTCCCAATTGGATATCTTCGAGAGCATCGGCACTCAACCTCGACCCGGTGAGTTGAATTCTACGTGATGACTGCAGATTTGTTTCTGGTGAAAGGGATATTCATTACATTTCGGTTCGAGGTAAGTCAGAAATCGTCCCCGACTCTTGTATTCCTCACCGGAGTGGAGGCTGCTCTCTTGTTTCCGCATAAGTCACAGGCTCGCCACGGTATAAGCTTGTTGATCCGAGACGAGAGAGTCGCGCAGAGATTGCAGTCGGCAGCTTTGTAAACGGCAGATCTTATTAATGATTCATCAGCAACCTGCCTGATAGTCATCACCGGAATGCTGATGCGGGAATACTTACAGGAAGTTTCACGCGGAGTTTTCAAGTCAACGGCGAGGATATGAGCGCATTGTATTCACTCAACCTGACAATTATTTATAAAGCAAGTATCGGGTCGTTCACAAATGTACACGGTTGCTCCGGTGAAGGCTGACTGCCTCAAGAGAATCGGTCGTGGTCATTGAAGCCATGCGAACGAGGTCGATCGCTCGGTTTCGATCCGGCGGTCTGGCGAGATGTGAATTGATCGAGAGAAACTACGTGATCTTCCTGAATGAAAATCCACGGAGGGATCCGAACTTTTTCTCACTCATCCTATCAGACGTCTTCATTCCTTCACTATTCCCGTAGAACTCACCCCGGAGTAGAATTCTCGCGAACTTGAAAGACAGAGCGGGAGACTGCGTTGCCATTTTTCGGGGTCCTGAGGGCACCCAGGGCTGCGTATGCTGCTGCACGCGTTGCGCACAGGGCCGTATGAGGAAGCGACAGAGCATTGCGATGCTGGATACAGGGACGATATTCCTCAACCCACAAGAAGTGAGTGTCAGGTCTAAATATTGGGATCTGAAGATCTGAACGATTCCTGATGGTCACGAGAGGTTCATTGCCGATAAGCCCGGCGGAATGTTCTGGAATGTGACTCCATTCGGGATCTTTGTCGAGTACTCCGGTGAATCGAAGCATCCTCCGAGCTCCGCTTCATTTGCTTCCAGTCGTTGACGGTGGAATCTCCTCCGGGAAGTGTCGTGGGACACATCGCCTTGCATCATGATTTCTACGGTATCTACGACAAAGGAATGTTGACGCTTTTGTACAGCGTGCCCTTCAAGGGGGACGCCGGAGCCCACCCGGTAAGGATGAGGCATCCCAGGTTCGACAGATAAAAGGCACATCGGACGAGCTATAATAATTGAAGGAAAAATACATAATTGCGACTTTGACGCCTCTATGATTTGACAGATAAATCTGATCGATGGAGCTGCCAATCGTCAGCCCGGTCGCGTTTCGTGCACCGAAAGCGAGCGCGCTCTGAAGATAAACGTGAGGCCACCGCTGAATATCAACTCGACGCAACACAAGCTGTTATTCATAGCAACAGCGATGTGCATGGTGAGCGAATAATTTTCTGTCACCGAAAGTTGAGAGTCATCACATCCTCGCCGCTAGGTCGAGAGAGGGTTCAGGGGTGATAATAACTTCGAATTCCGGGCAGTTTGGAATGGAAATCGACAGAATACCACGGCCACTCGAATGGCTCGGCTGTATCAGTCTTCGGAACGCGATCGAAGATGGATTTTGCTGACTGCTCCCCGGCGGCCAACGAGCGTCACCCGAAGCGACTATCCGTCGACCGGCTCTCGGCGCTGGGATGTAAATTGCAGCATACGCTGAATAAAGATGTCCGACAAGAGAAGACTCTTATCAGGTCGACCAGACACTCTTCGATTTATTTTCATCGATGATCTCTTGCGCTTAGGATTTTCCCCTCTTCGCCTACCTAACTTCTAAGATTTATTGCGGCTTCCGATTGAGGCCCATGCCCCGGAAACATGAGTAAAAGAGATTTACCCATACCCCTCCTCGTCGGTGAGCTCGATGAATCCTCAGGTATGTGAACTTCTTGTCTTCCCTTCGAATGTCTTTCGCCGTTCTCCTTCTCCGATGGATCAGAACCTCACCGGAACGTATACACTCAATGAATCCCTCGCTGAACAATCGTTGCTGCTCATTCATTTACTCAAATCAAGTTCCAGGGCACATGATCCCGGATTAGAACTCACTATGAGCTTAGCTGATCGCGAGCTCAAGGGCGCCTAGCATCAGGTACTGTCGAATAATTCAAGATCAATGCCCGCGTGACTTGTCCAGGGAACTGCGTCGCTGGTTCAGTACCGGTCGGTGACTTCCGGCTGGGAAGCCTTGATGGCCCGGGACCTGACCTCAATTAGTTGCCAATATATGCGATTAGGCTGCTTCTGAATTATAGAGTCGGTACCACCAAAGCTCGCCTGACCGTCGAACTCCCAGATTGTGTTTCTCACCCATGCAGGCCCGAGTCGGAGAAGAATGATTAGGTATTGCCGATCGCGTCGGGTTCTTCATGCCTCCTTCTTCGTGGTCTCGAAACTCTCAGATTGAGTTCAGACGACTCGAATGCTTAGGAATCGAACAAGAATAATAATACAGTGAAAGCTCGTCATAACGACCCCCATTACAACGAATTTCTCGGCACAACGAACGAGGAATTTCTCCTCCTTTGGCCAGCTCGCCATAGGGATAGTGTTGAGCGGCATTCGTTACAGCGGGAGCTCGGTACAACGAACCAGTTCCGTCGGTCCCTTCGTGTTCGTAATAACGAACTTTTACTGTAATAATAATAATAATCGAACAAGAAAGGTGCGGGAAAATACTCAGCCTTTCCAGACGCTCTTTTCCGTGGAAGAGGCCATCGCCGCACAAAGCCCCATCAGCAGCGAAGTCGGGTTCCCAGTGCCCAGAATTCAAACTTCCCGCCAAAAACTATGGAAAAAACAAAAACAAGGCACCTTGCCTCCATCCCACACGAGAGCCATCCTCACCTATCACATGCGAGCAGCCGTCTCAGCAAGGCTGCCTCTGTGCTTTGTACACCCTTCTGTGAAGTTCCAGCACATGACACATGGTCGCGACTCTCAGAAGCCGCGAAGAGCCTCTTTTTTGGTGCAGCGACACGGTCGAGCATGAAAAGCTGTAAACAACGTCTGGAGACCTTTGCCCATTGGCCTAAACCACAAATCGACCCCAAGCGTTTAGCTAACGCTGGGTTTTATTATCTCCAAGAAGGTGACAAGGTGCGTTGTGCTTGGTGTAGAGGTGTGATCGGAGAATGGGAACCGTCGGATGTGCCCTTCGATGAGCACGCCAAGTTCTTCAAGACATGCCCCTTCATTCTAAACCCCCCAGCGTATGCACTCGAGGGCGAAGATGAGTGTGGTCATCGGGACATGTGCAGCTCGAGTCGGAATGTCGCTCCTGGCACTTATCCCGAAGGAGCGATCCTTCATTCGGCGCCGAAGCAACCGCACATGGTGTCGCCCGGGGCCAGGCTGAGCACTTTCACGAAGAATACGTGGCCCGCGAGTTCTAAGGTCCGGGCTGAAGACCTTGTTGAAGCTGGTTTCTTCTTTCTCGGAATCCGAGACTTCACGAAGTGTTTCCATTGTGAAGGTGGACTGTGCAATTGGGAGGAGGGTGATGACCCGTGGGTTGAACATGCTCGGTGGTTCCCCGAATGTCGCCTCGTTCAGTTGAGTAAAGGCGAGGCTTTCGTTGCGGAGTGCAGGAAGATGCACCACCAAATCATGAATGAGGCCGATGTTCGAAGCCTCAGGAGTGCGGGGAGCAAAAAATTATTGAAGAATCTTCGCAACGAGCTCGAAGTGTGTCTATCGTCTCCCACTGTCGAGTTCTACCTAAAGGAAGGAATCTCTGCAAATGTCGTTCGTAGGACTCTCGAAAACATCATGGTTGAAAAGGGTCGCGGCTTCGAAAGCTTGCAGGAGATGGTGCGGATCCTGTCTCAGAAGCTTAAAGTCTCGAAAGCTCCCTCAACGCAGGAAGCGAAGCGTAAGTGATCATTCGCGCCGGCACAGGCCAGGTCCAAGCAGGAGGGTGTCTCAACACACACCCTTGTGATAAGATGAAAACCTAACCGTCCGAATCCCCTACCGGCAGGTGAAGACAGCGAGAGGAAAGAAATCCCCGAAAGGATGCTCTGCGTGGTGTGTATGGCCCAGGAACGTAGTATACTCTTCCTGCCGTGTCGTCACCTGGTGACCTGCCCATCGTGTGCTGCCAGCGTCTCCGAATGCGTGTCATGCAGAGAAGCAATCGGGAGCTCAGTACGGACATTCTATTCGTAGTTTTGCGTTTGTGAGCTTTTCAGTAGATCCATTCTCAGAACGAAGCGGAAGAGTCAATCTGGCCGTCGGTTCAGGCCGAAAACTTGTAAATTTCTTGTTGCGTCGGCGTCTTTACACGTATACATATATTAGGTACATTATATCATATACATATATTATATATATATTCCACAGAGAGTAATATATTGTTTAAGACTCATTATCGCGATTTGATTGTCTTTTCCAGTTTTTACATCCACAAATTCGACGGTCCTTTCAGGATTGATTGCGGTTTGTCTAGAATCACCACGCCATCTTTCGTCGGGAGGTCTTAGATGATGCTTTGAAAACCGACCTCCATATATTGCTCCACGGTTCTAAATCATTGGAGCTTTCCGAATTCTCTAACAAATTAGATTTTTTTGGTTTGTTTCAATCGAGCTTTCACTTCCAGGATGAAGTTTAGGTTGTGGCGTTGTGACCCCATCTAGTTAAAATCGAAGTTATTCGTGATCATGGTGACAACGGCGGGAATCGGCTAAGTCGCCTCAGAGTCGTGATGCTTTACTCCGGATATCTAGGATCAGAAATCTCAGAGCTGACGTTCTAGAAACTGGGACCTGTATGCTGAGCATTGCGAGCCGAGATCGCGGCGGGAAGCGAACCTGACAAAGCGAAATCTCTAAAAACGGCTGCGCCGGTCGATTACATACTTCTGACAACATCGGAGCCGCATCCTTCTGAGGATTTCTCCCGCGAGATTTAGTGACATACTCAGGGCATCCTCATATCGATGGGCATGCTCTATTTGACGGGTACCCTTCAGGAAAGTTCCGTGATAGGGCATGCTCCAATCGACGGGCACCATCCGAGTCTCAATCCCGAGGTGGACATGAAGTCGAGAAGCCAGAAAATCACTCGATTTCGTTATATATAGTCGAATGACTTGTGTTTGGGACAGGAACCTGGTCAACTAGGCAGTTCAGTCTGAAAGCTCGTCCATGAATAACTCATGTAGACGAGCATGCTCTGATAGACGGGCCCTTCGACTTGATGGGCACCCCTCCTGAGCTGTTGAACATTTCAGGAGCGTGCCTTCATTAAGAGGAACCGCTGTATATCATGTCTGGATCGTCGATTCATTTCTTCTGGGCTGGGGTGCGTCGGGTATGTATGTACGATTCCTCGGGCATGTCCTGGACGGTGATTCCGACTAATACAATCGAGTCGACAGGCCATCGCGAATCCTAAATTACGGACTCCAGCGTCTCCGAAGAATTCCGTTCCTGCAGCATCAATAATGCCCTCATTCTCAAGTCGATCCTTCCCGCGACGCTCTTCGCTCTGTGCTGCTAAGAGCGATCGGTGTGGATCCCCGTAAGCCTAGCTGAGGCAGTTCCCGTTATGAAGGAGACGATAGACAGGGACTCTTCGGAGAGGAACGAGCAGTCCGACGGCGATCTTCTGGGAAAAAAAATCGGCCGTTTTTGAGCCAACACTCAATACCTTAGAGGGCTGCGCCGCGCTGTCGATGTACGAGGCAGTCTTCAGATATAGACCTCGAGCGATCTGCGAAGACGAGTCCGCGTTCACCGAAATGACGCTCCCGCTCTAGAATTCTCTGCACCGAAAAGGATCCGAGAAAATTCCATGCAAATTCAGTCGTTCAGCGCGTTTTTCTCTAAAATTTCTCCGCCAGAGAAGATGATCGAATGATCGTTCACTGTCTCCTCGCTGATCTTATATTCAGCGAGACCGAGTGAAGCACAGCAACCTCCTTCCCTGCTAATTTCTCTCGTACACAACGCCGCGAATAGTTTATGGATACGTTCTCGAAACTCCGGTTTCGATTTCGCTCCCGCCTTGAGAACGCGAAAGTGAATCACATTCTGTGAAGTGTCCGAGGGCGACAGCTCTGAAGTGCTTCGTGATCGATATAGTAGTCTGAGTTCCAGTGAGCTCGCGGGTATGCGGGGAAGTGAGAAACTCATCAGAGTTCTCCGAATCGGAGTCCGATTCTTTCGGTACGTGCCAAGCTCTGATCTATTGCGGAGTCATCCTCGCTCACATTCCTCGGAGTAGTGCCCTGGAGGAGCGTATGGACTCGCTCAGCTTTGACTCAGTCCAAGCCCTTATCCGTTAACACGTGAATCCCGTGAAACCGATAGATGTTTGGGGAGTTTGTGGGGCAAGTTTTCCTCTCTGCGAGTTTCCGACCCCCGAAGCGCTCGGAGCCCTCTCTGACGATGAAAATGAATCACTGCATAGGGATGGGTCGATCATCGAGGTAGTCTCTGCGAATCAATTTGATATATATGCCTTATAATATTCGGTAGGATTTCCCGCGACGAGATATCGCCACTTTGGCGTCGGCATCTCGTCGCGGAAAAAAATTGTGAGCGTTGTGTCTGAGCGGACTTTTCCCTCTCGATCGCCGGAGATCACAGAATTCGCTCCCGATTCGCGGCGGAAGTGGCTCTCCAGGACAAATATGCTCAAAAGGCTCACGCCTTGCGACGATTCTCTCCTCGTTTGTATTTTCGGACCCTTTCTTGAGGTTAAGCAACACTGAGGTCTTGCAGAACTTCCTTGAGAATCAGAGCCCATCCAACGGCGCAAGATTTCGCACAACGGGTTCGCACTCGACCACCGATGGGTAGTGCATCCGCATCCGCCACTCCGAGCGCAAACGTGCGCAGCCGCCCACCGCAACGGCGCTCATGTGGGAGGTGGCGCGGGTTCGATCCTTGCTTCCGGCGATATGTGCAGGTACTCGGCCTTGAATCTCCCGTTGACATTTGCTCTCTGGATCCGTCCTCGGAAGCTATGTAAAAAACAATATCCGGTACGTTGAAGCTCTGCTGTTTGGTTTAGCCCGAAGACTTTTAGATCCCGTACAGCTGACTCTCACGATTCAGAGACGGCCGTATCGCGCTCTCTCAGGGGTTCTCATCGGAGACTGTAGAACGGGTGGAACAGCTTAATTTGCTGAATTTGCTCGGAACCGGCCAAGATCGCGTTCGACGTGAATCCGCGGTCCCCGCGAAGAGTTTGTACGAGAAGAGACGAGTCCCGAGTTCGCTGCAAGGAAGTGTGCGCTCTCAGTCAGTTTCCCATCGCCGGGCCTCATTCGCATGTGGAGAAATTACTGCTCCTGTGGCGGCCGGCAGAGCGCGACAGCCACTGAGTCCCTCGCTTAGTTCTTGCTAACACGACGCTTTCCGTGTTGAACTTCGCAAACAAACTCTTGAACAGTAGATGCTTTGAAAGGAATCCTATCGAAAAAATCAGCAAGCCTGCTCGAGCTAAAGTTGGGGAATCAGAAGCGCCGCGTGTTTCACCACGTGTAGGCTCTCATTCAAATGCCTTGTGTGGGCCTCGTCCGAAATTTTCCCTCCGAACCCTCATCGCCGTGAGTGGCAAAAGCACCACGGTTCATGCTGGAGATCGATCCGCGACTCCCATCGGAACCCTTGCTCAGTTTTCGCATCACCGACTGCCCGTGTTGATTCCCGCAAGGATGGTCAGACTTGAACTGCGAGTTTTCGAATCCAATGCCGAATCAGACGACGATTGGAAATCGTAAGTCGTTGATATTAGCAGCAGCGCACTTGCGAACCTCCTCCGCGACCTTGAGTGATGTTGTTTCGTCTAAGTACTCGATTATTCAGTTGCGGATCCTCGAGAAGACAAGAGTCGTCATCAGCACGACGGTAGTTCACACAGGCAGGGTTGTGCAGCGCCCGGAACTCTGAAGTAAGATGGCTGTACTCAGCTCTTGCCTTGTGGACTCCTGGGGAGGCCCTGTCGCCAATGCGTTTGAATTTATTCGAGGCTGACTCGTAGCACGAGATTCATTGGAGGCCTCTGCCAATCATTCCTTCCCGCGCGAGAGTCCGGAATCTCGAAAGGCCACGAGCAATACTCGGAACCGTTGTGAGTTCATCCGTTAGGACCGCTCGAATGTCTGAGTAGTCGGGAGAACGATGTCTCCATCGCTCGGATCACGCTTGCATCCTGTCACTATACGGTGCATAACTCAGCGGTGACATGCTATTTGCCTGACAGACGATGGCGCCCTCTGGTGTGCGTAATGCTCTTGTCGGCTCCAAGGATCAGCTGTTTCATCGGGGTGGATATATTTCGTAGAGAGATTCGGAGAAAGTCCCACCGGAATGTGACCATCGACAGTTCCTGATAGAAGTTTATTCCCCCGGAGTGGGGTTCTGCCGACGAACCGAAATGGCTTCCTTAGACGAAGAAATTCAGTGAGTTGATCATCACGCCGCATTCAGATTTGTGCCAGGGGAGAGTCGGAATTCGAGTACATAGACTGTATCGAGAACTGAATAAACATCAGTGGACAAGACGCAGTGCTCTTCATCGTGGGTTAGAATGATATTCGCGAGGCTCGTTTAAGATCTGCGATATCCGCGGGAAGTTCGTAGATTCCGTGATTCGCGGCCGTAAATCGTTCATAATCCTGTTTGATTGATCAGCTGAGAGCATTCCGCGGCTGGCAATTGATTTCCTGCGGCAGATTTCCGTGAGAGTGGTTTCATTTCCCGATAAAATGTGGATGACGTCACGGCTCTCCTCAGGTCAGGTCAACTAGTCGAGGTGGTCAGAATTTAGATTATGCAATGATTATTCAAGCGCTACCCGGAGCGTTTGGACCAGAGAAACGCTCACGCCTTCCACGTCTCCAAGTCCACTTACCGTGCTGTTCTCTGTACATGACCGGCGTGACCACAGAGCATTGGGCGTTCCTGGAACTGTCTTTGATACCGGATGCGTCAGGGATCCGTGGGAGCCGAATCGGAACCGCTATGCATAGGCGCGGAAGCTAGTTGTAGCGTCTTTTTTCCGGTGGCATGTCTCACGATTCGAGACGAAGCGGAGCTCTCGACTGAAGTAGAGCTTATACGATTGTTTTCCGCACCACGACCGCTGAGGATTTTATAAACATTTTGTAGTCTGAAGGAATCGCTAAGCTTATTCTTCACATTCAGAATAGACAGCTCGAATAGCTGAGCTGCTGCTCGACATAGACTTTGACTTTGTGCGGATCGATTCGATTTGGCGAACCGAACGAATGGGACTCACGGGAGCCATGTCACATTACGCCAGCTTATTCCTCCCTGCAGATTCCTAATACCGGACGATGATCCTCCGGAAAGCAGTTGGCTACACAGCTCAGCGAAGGTGAGATCTTTGATTTTCCAGAGCTTTTTGAACATATCGATTCTTTTGAAGTACGACTCTGTGTAATCCTGAAGTGAAGCTCCGGGCGAAGTGTGCTCCTCGCGTAGGTAGAGTCGACGGACGTTCGGTATTTGTTTATCAATTCGTACCGCGGTTGCTCCGTTAATCTTCGACGCTTTCTTAAGTGAAGGCGGAAGGGCTATCGCTCGAACGCCGTCCAGACCTGCGATCGTTGGATAAATCATGAATATGGCGCTCCCTACACTCGAGACATTCCGCTGTAATTCCATAGTTTCGTGAGACCTTTTCGTGTTCGCTCGCAGCAATGCCAAGATACGTAGACTTTGACGCGGTCTCCTCTCTTGTCGGCCGCGAGTTTCAGTGAACTCTTAGCGAGTGGCCAATGATGCTGCAAGTGCATTTGATTCATCGAGAATGACTTCTTTCCAATAGTTTCTTCTGTCGTGTTCTCGCGAGCCTTAAGCGTAAGTGTGAGCATGTTTTCGATCGACCGATGTGTGGCATTGAACTCATCATTGATTGAGCTCTCCAGATACCAGTATTGTGATATATCAAAAGAGGTAGTTCGAATGTAGAAGTACCGACAAGTGCTACGATGCCCCGGGAACACATTCTGCTCGTCCTGACCGCGAAGTCGGAGGGGGAACTCTCATTCCTATCCGAGAGTCTCTCGAGCGACGTCATATTCCATCGCAGGAAAAGTTGCCCGAGCCGGCATCGAGCCCTCTAGATAAAAGCGGAGCATGTGATACGAAATCCGTAGGTCTCTCTCTCTCTCTGTGGGGAATGCCGAAAGAGATCCCAAGGCCACGGCCCGTAAGCGTCCCGCAGTATGCGATCCCGCGCCAAAGTCACTGGAAGCGGTAGAGCCAGAAGGAGGCAATGAGCGAAAGGAGACAAGCATTCACAGAGAGTAGCCATTCGCGACGAATCAGCTCGAAGCTCAGCAGTCAGCCGAGCTTCGCCGTCTGAAAATAACTGTTTTCCAGGCTGCCATGGGGTACTTCCATCAGTTGTACGCCTTCCTTTACAAGGATATCTTCATCCGAAAAATAAAGAGACACTATATATTCGCGTTCCTCGAATTGGCCCTCCCGATCGGACTATTAGGTGGGTTGCCCTATCAAACGGATTGCCTCATCGAAGGATGTATAGTTCGAGCAATGCAAATGTCCCTATTCGGGGAGCTTGGATCTTCTCCTGGAAGATTACCTATTTCAGGGCTGTCGGTGTACATGCGGAATCGGGGAACCATCGGAGCCCCGCCTGTCGTCAGAGGACCCGAGGCCTTGAAGCCGTCGAACAGCGAGTTCCTGGTGCTGGGAAACGTGACTGTGGCCTACGCTCCGACGACTGATTTCACCGAAAAACTCATCGGTTTTCTTCGGACCCGTTTGATCGGGGAGAATTTTAGTACGAATTTCGAATAGTCGCGGCGAGAGGAAATAGCGAGCTGGAAGAGACAAGAGATGCACACGCCGAGGACAATTTCAGATTATTCCTAAACCTTGCAGCTGCGCGCAATTTCTCTTCCTGGGAGGAACTCCAGATCGATATCGCTTCCAGCAATGACACCTCACTAGCCTTGAATTTCGAGGGGATCACTCCCGAGAAGCTCAATTATACATTCAGGTAACCCTTTGCCGAGCCTGGACCGTGGATGCTTAGATCGACCTTTGAGTTTGAGCTCCCGACGTTTCTTCCCTGAGTCTATCACGGAAATCTAGTAAACGCTCAATCTGATCACATACTGAGACTCCATAATCGATGGAGCTTCTCACCAATCAAATTGAACCTCTTTGCAGCATCGACTTCCCAGAGCAGAACAGTCGGGAACTGTATCCTCAATCTCTTGGACCGAAAGCTGTCGAGTTATGGAAATTGGAGAATTCTGTCACCTATCCTCTAATTTGGGCTATCTTCGAATTTTATGTCGATTTCTACCATCAGAAGGACCTCAAAGCGGTGAGCCCGATAGAAGAGATATACATATATATGATGGGAGAATGGGGATCGTGGAGTACAGAACGTTCCTCCCTCCTCACCGAGGAGAGCTCATCGGGGATTCAAATATTTGACTCCGAATCTTCACTACGAGAAATCGGTCGAATTATCGCTTCTTTCTCGTTCCAGTACACTCTCCAGCCGATGCCAGTCGGCGAATACCTGGACGACAGAAGTTTTCCGAAGATTATCCGTTATCTAAGTCAATTGTTCCTCTTTTCGTGTGTCATCTTCGTGGGTTATTTCCCGGTACAGATAATCCAAGAGAAAGCATCGCGGATCCGGGTGGGTGGCAGGAATTCACGACTTCACGAGATTACCTGAATGAATCGAAGACTCACGCATGAGTCGAACTCCTCTAGCTCATGAACCGGGACTCAATTTTTGAGAGTTTTTGGCGGAGAATCAGGTCGTTGAGCTAATTTCGGAGTCTTGCAGGAATTGCTGCGGATGATGGGCCAATCGGAGGCAGTCTACTGGCACGGGCTTTTTCTCGTCGGATTTCTGTGCATGGGTCTCATTGCAGTCGCTACGGCGATAACTTTCGCTATACCGTTCGCGGGTTATCCGGTTTTCGTGAAATCGAACCCCTTCCTGGTCCTTCTACTGCTCATCGTCTTTTCGATCACTACGATACTCCTGTTGATCCTCGTATCCGTTCTCTTCAATGGACGTAAGTTTGACTGCCGACGGGGATTCCATTGTCGTCCCGTTATCTCCTTTGGACTAATTCGATTATTTCCGGTTGCAGCGGCGATGGGTGCTCTCGTTTCCATCCTCTTGTGGTTTGTCGGCATAATTCTCAGCTCCGTGTGGATGGACTCCCAAACTTCGAACAACTACACCTCAATCGGGGCATCCTATAAACTTCTTTCGCTCTTCCTGCCCCCCTGTGGTTGTTATTGGACCTTCAAACTCATCGGATTTTGGGAGCAGGCAGGTTCGTGTCGCGTCCTCGCTTTTGAAGTCTCCCCTCGTAAGATCTGGATGACTGATGTCTACTTTTTCTCGCCAGATGTCGGGGTGCAATTTTCGAACCTGGGCCAGATTGCGAGTCCTGGCGACAATATCACCCTCCTGCAGCTGGTTCTCGCCCAGGTCGCCATCTGGTTCCTCTACGGCTTCCTCATCTTCTACCTGGATGCGATCGTGCCCTGGCAATACGGGATCCCGAAACATCCCCTCTTCCTCTTCAGACGGTCATATTGGTCATTGAACAGGGAACCGTCGAAGAAGGCTCGACCGAGCTCCTCCGAAAATCTCGAGATGTTTGAAGCGGTCTCGGAATCTCTCTGTGAAACGGTCGTCGAGCTTGTGAACGTCACGAAATACTTCAACGGGAAGAAAAAAGCTGTCGACGATCTGTCGGCTAAGTTCTACAAGAATCAAATCTCTGTCATTCTCGGTCACAACGGGGCAGGGAAGACCACGACAATGAACATTTTGACCGGCTTATTTCCCCCGTCGTGCGGGAACATGTACATCAACGGATACAGCGTGCAGGAAAACACGAAGAAAGCCCGCGAGAGCGTCGGTTTGTGCCCCCAACACAACGTCCTGTTCGATGATCTGACTGTTGTTGAGCATCTCCGATACTTCGGGATCATGAAAAATGCGGAACGCGTCGAAGAGGAGATAAACGAATTACTCGATAAATTCGACTTGACCAAGAAGAGATTCACGCTTTCCAAGGATCTTTCCGGCGGAATGAAGCGGAAATTGTCTATGGCGAACGCTATGATCGGTGGTTCTGAGGTGAGTCCTCATTAGCGATTGCGAATGACAGAAGAGCCCCCATTTTCCGCTTAGATTTCCCTCTCCGCACACCCCAGCAGTTTCCGTCTCGTCGAATGTTGCCATGTCATCTTCCCAGAAAAATCTCCCCAGGGAGACTTTGGGGCACCTTTTCCCGATGCATTCTCCCTCGGGTCTGCTTATTGATTCTCTCCACCCTATCCATCAGATCCTCATCTTGGACGAACCAACTGCTGGAATGGATCCGCAAGCCCGTCGCGCCGTCTGGACAATTTTGCAGGAAGCTCGGAAAACCCGCTCAATACTTTTGACGACTCACTATATGGAAGAAGCAGACGTACTCGGTGATCGGATCGCCTTCCTCACGGCTGGGAAGCTGCGCTGTGCGGGCTCTCCAATGTTCCTGAAGAAAAAGTTCGGTATGTAATCGCAATAAGCCCGCAGACGATGTGGAATGGCTTCTTCATTCCCGCGGAAAATGTTCCTTCCCCCTTACGTCGACAGGATCCTCTCGGGACTCGCTTTGCATGCTTAATTGATTGAAATGTCAACCATCCTTGGTAGTACACATTCCTTCATATACAAGAGACCCCATGCGCGGGGGCGATTCCCCCATTTGTTCATCCTGAAGATTTCATTCTGCTATTCAATCCTCGCAGATACTGGCTATAAGATGAGGGTAGCGAAAGCCTCAACAGACACGGATACCCGTCTGACGCTCAAAGCCATATCCACGTTCCTCGATGGAGCAGTTTTGGAATCTAATACTAACCAAGAGTTCTGCGTGAATCTCGGGTTTCCGTCGACGGAAACTCTCGTTCAACTGTTTTCTCACCTCGAAGACAGCAAATTACAGCTCGGGGTGAGAATATTCACGGACAAATTCTCTTTGTGAGCGATTTGTAGGCTGCTCGTAGCGAAATTCCCCGACTATTACGAGGTTTTTGAATCTACCAGATTGCCAATCTCGGGGTGTCCGTCACGACTATGGAGGATGTTTTTCTGAAAGTCGGAGCCGCCGGCGAAGACAACGCCGGCTTCGAATCTTCACGAGTATCCTCCACTAGTAGCAGCAGCAGTCTGCATTCGGACGTGGAGGTTCGAGGTAGGCTCCGATTCCACTGTACTTCCTCCGTAGATCTCCGAGTCCGTTCGTGAAGACTAAGTATATTCTCTGATCGTGAATCGAACTTCGAAATTAGTTCCAGACGCTTTCCCGAAATTCATCCGCCTCGAGGGGCCAGAACTTTTCTTCTCACAGTTCTCGGCATTGTTCGTCAAGCGGTTCAACACAATCAAACGAGAATGGTGGATGGCTCTATTTCTATTCATCCTCCCGGTTCTGCTCACGGTGTATTTCTGTGTTTTGGACGAATGGGCTTACTCAACTGAAAATGAGAGCGTAAGTACTTACATTATTTACGCTCAAGCCCGTCGAGATGGGATCATCAAACCGGAACAGCTCTTGTGAAGCGCTACCTAAGTATGACTTGGCGACTTTCATCCGATTGAGTGTACCGTGCGGAGCCGCGGTCAGACTTACGGATGGCGGGTCTCTTGCAGGACATCCACTACTCCCTTGGTGGCCTCTATGGCCGGACTGAGGGCTTCATAAGCTCGACAGCGGACAAAAGCGATCTGTCTCCTGTTCTGCGGAAGTACATGACGCGAGAAAAAGTCGATTTCGGCATTGTACAATCGAAGAATTTCACGGAATACCTCATTGAAAAGTGTGAGTGCAGAAACCTCATCGAATCTTTCAGGAGGCCCGTATTTTTTTATTCAGAGTGGCATAATTCTCATTCTCCTCTAATATCTGTAGCCTATGAGGATCCTCTGGGGTACAGAATAAAGATGATGATGGGCGTGGATATAGACGAAAAGAACAATACCATCGTATGGATAAACGAAGGAGCTTATCATTCGGGACTTTCGATCATGCTGAGCGTGCAGAGGATGATGTTCGAAATAGCTACCGGGAAAGAGCTGCACCTGGAAGTAACTTCGCACCCGAGAGACGGATCTCGATTCATACTGGACACGATTCTCAAACTCTTCTGGGGTATGGATCTCTCTCGTATCGGTTCCGTCTCGAACGGCGGCTTCTCCATTTATTTCCAATCTTATTCAGATAATTTGATTACTCTTAATTTCTATTTCCACAGTCCGCATCGTCTCGGTGTTCCCGATATCCCTGGCCGTTGCTTTCCTGACCTGTTCTCTGATCATGAACCCAATACAGGAGAACATTTCGAAGTCGAAATTGGTGAGCTTTCGTAGGACCCCTACGTGTCCTATTGGCGTCGCTCTTACCCGCTTCGTCCGTCAGGGGAGCTGCAATTTCCTCTTTCCTTTCTGTTCCCGTCCCTCTCATTGTCAACTTTGGCGAACGAAGCCGAGAAGGATTCCCACCGGGCATGATTTATCCCGATCTATTCCGCAGCTTCAACTGATGTCCGGTGTCCATCAAGTGATTTACTTCGGCTCGAGCTTCGTGTTCGATTTCGTCCTGTTGCTTTCATCGGTCGGAATCATGATGGCGACATTACTCATCTACAACCCTCTGACTTCGTTCACGATATTTGCCGACACCTGGCGTGAGTGCACAGATGTGGGTGGATGCTCCTCAGGGCTGAATCCATACGAAGCATGCTTGGCAGGCTGCTACGAGCGCACGGCAGTATTTGAGCTTCTGATGAATTCCCTGAGGTGGAACGCTCGTCATTCTGAACTTTTTCACAGAGGCCGTCTTCTGTCTACTGATTCTCTACGGCTACGCCATGATTCCGCTGTCTTACATACTCGCCTACATCTTCAACAAGCCCTCGACCGGATTCATGTACTTACTAGTTTTCAATGTCATCACGGGTGAGTTCCGGCTGATCAAGCTCTTTTCCGTATACATGTACATCCCGTCGGGGACATTGGCATTGTCGTGGCAGGCGCGTTCGAGTTGTCTGACCAAGTCGTTCCACAGGCTCAATAGTCGTGGTTGTCATGGCGCTCTTCGACATGCTGTCAATTTTGAACAATGATGTCTTCAAGTTCGATATCAATGCCATCAATATCTCGCTGCACGTTTTGAACTACGTGCCGGCCTTCGGCGTCGTCTGGGGATTCGTCAATATTCACGTGAATGGCTTGGCCAAGTCGTTCTGCGACACGACGCCTGATACGATAATAGCGAAGTACTGCCCCACCAAGATCGAGTCGTACTTCATTCGACCTTGCTGTAACAGTGAGTTTCGCCACATGAGGAAGATATATGTCTCTCCTCCTGTTCCGGGTCCCTGCTTTCGCCCATCACTCAGATGTAATTGATTCACGATTTGTCCCAGGATGCCCTGGTTCCGACTCTGATGAGGACCACTGCTTCGTACACACCTCCCCATTCCTTCTGGATGAGAGAGAAGCGGCAGGATTTCAGATGCTGGCACTTTTCATCATGGGGACCATATCCTTCCTCGTTCTGATTCTGATTGAAACAAACCCGCAGTATCTCTTCTACATAATTTCCAACAAGTTGCGGAAGAAAAAACGCGCTGGCGCGCTTTCCGCCACGGGTACACGTGAGTCAAACTCTGGGACGGAACGATGCTCGGAAGAGGTTTTCTGATAGGCTCTCTGCTTCAGATGAGAGGAGTGCATCATTTTCTCGTTTGAATAGATCTCGACATGGAGGACGTTGATGTCAAGACGGAACGGGAGATCACGGATAACATCATGGCCGTTCCGAATAGCCGCGATCGGTCGGATGAAGCTCTCATAGTTCACGGGCTGAGTAAATACTACGGGTCCTTCCTCGCTGTCGACAACGTTACTTTCCGGTAACACACCATCGAGTCCACGATCAAGCCGAAGAATGGAAATGACAGTTGAAAAGAATCCTCGCTAGAACTTGAATGATGCCTCGTTTCTAGGGTACATGATGGAGAGTGCTTCGGACTCCTTGGAGTAAATGGAGCAGGGAAAACGACGACTTTTGGGATGCTGACTGGCGATCTATTGATGAGCAGGGGTAATGCCTTCATTCATGACTCCGATGTGAAGACAAGTCTGCGGAAGGTGAGTCGCTCGCACCTCGGGTGATATCGGTGAGGAGAACCAATAGTCATCGGAAAACTGTCACTAACATCATCGGCAAACAGTTCCAGAGACACATCGGCTACTGTCCGCAGTTCGATGCCTTGATCGCCACCATGACGTGCAAAGAGCTGCTCCAGCTCTTTTGTGCCCTCCGAGGAGTCCCCAGACACAACACGAACGAAGTGGTCAATTTCCTCATCGATATTGTGGATCTGACATCCCATGCTCATAAAACGGCTGGCTCATACAGGTAGGAAATACCGAGGTCAACTTCCGTGGGAGAAGCTCCCCCGACGGTGCGACGCGCGCCGTGGACTTGAGTTTCGTGGTCGTAGCGGGCTTCGCTGAGATTTCATTCTCATTACAGCGGGGGAAACAAGCGGAAACTGTCGATCGCCATCGCCATGATCGGTAATCCTAGGGTGCTGTTCCTCGACGAACCTACTGCCGGAATTGATCCCTCGGCGCGTCGGAAAATATGGAACGCGTTGATGAGAGCGCAGAAAGATATCGGCAGCGCTGTTGTCCTCACCAGTCACTCAATGGAAGAATGCGAAGCTCTGTGTCACAGGTACCAATCGGATGGGCTCAGCGCGCTATTTGCTCGGTCCGTTTATAAGATTTCTAGGAACCATTCAAACTCGACATGTCGCATTCATTTTGAAGGCTCTGCATCATGGTCAACGGACGCCTCCGATGCTTGGGTTCTACTCAACATCTGAAATCGAAATTCGGCGAGGGATTCACAGTCTTGATCAAGTTACGAGCTCGTCAAAATCATGTTGCGTGCGAGGTCGTCCATACCATGGAAACCATGTTCCCGAAAAATGTCATTCTCCGAGAGCATCATCAGGTAGGTCTCTCGCGTGTCATCGTGATCAGGTTGAATCACGATTGGGAGAGTCTTCGCTGCGGATTTTCCTAGTGAACATTACCCAAAGCCTCGCGATGACCTGAGTCTGAGCAGGGCATTCCGAAAACGGTAGCTTGACCTTTGCGGGGAGTCGAGCTCTTTAAAGCACTGAAACGCTCCCTGTGTGGTTTCATCGTCCTGATAGCTCGCTCGGTGTTTCAGAGCCTGATGCATTTTCACGTGACGGATACATCAATCCGTTGGAGCACCTTGTTCAGCAAAGTGAATGAAATCAATTTGAGGTTCCATTTCGAGGACGTCTTCGTTTCGGACACGACCTTGGAACAGATATTCCTTTCATTCGCCAAAATGCAGAAAAACGCCGACGAAGACGAACATAGTGAGTCGGACGCGATTGACGACAACCTACCGGTTGAAGCATCGTCCACCATTCTCAATTACCGATACTGAATCTTGCAAGCTCGGCAACATCAACCCATCCAAGAACTCAATCAACTCATTAGGCTGAGTGTTGAGTTGTAGAAAAACCTTCGTTTACAGCTCACGGCTGAGGGATCGCCAAGATTTTGTTGACCCCCGCGCCCCTCAACTTCTTGCTGCTATTCAGTATCTCTTTCTCGAGGATACAGACAACTGCAGCCTTGTTGAATTCTTGTGGCGAGAAACTTGTCGAATGATATGTGATGAATGTGTCTAGTCCTAGGAGTGATTGTTGAAATTAATATACTGAGAGTATCTGTACACATTGTGAGAAAAACTTTTTTTGACTGACCCTAATAAAACTGAGTCAAATCGTTCGAATCGTCCGTTGTGGCTGTAGTGGCTCATCCCGTATACGTATATGCCCTCCCTCAAGTATCCTTCTCTGAGGAGAGAACTTTTAACTCCGATTCCGCTCAGTGACCCGCCTCAGATGGGGCGGGTACGTACTGCATGTACATATGACTGCAAGGAGTAAGATATGTTTGATGTTATTCGATATATTTCAATAATAAGACAGGACGGATCCTACGAGACCGGGTTGACTTTATTGTCGAACTGCAGAATTATTGACACACAGGAGACCATTCCCGCGAAGAAAGTTATCGTTGTAGACTGTCGCAGAACGAACAAACCGAAGATCGTGGCTGAATCCCGGGCCGCGTCGAAATCGAGGATCGTTTTCAGGTTCGAGATGAGAATATCATCGTTCCCTTGCCTAGTGATGCATGAACGTCCAATATTCCCGTACTGTCCGCTGCTCAGTTCCATTATCGTCTCCGGGGCGGAACGCGGAGAAGAAGCTTGTTCTTGAAGAACGAGCAGAGCTGTGTCAGTACACGATTGCAGTTTCGTTATAATGAGTGTGCTCGCGGACGAGAGCGCGATCACTTCCAACGAATAGTGGATGGCGGGCAGGATCCAGGCGATTATTTCGAACGTCCCTCTGTGGATCACGATCATCGCTACGGATATCAGCGTAGCTTTGAAAATCTTGCAATAGATTTGAAGCGCGAAGAACGAGAATATTTCGTTGACTCTTTGCACTTTTCGACGGAACGCTCTCTTGAAAAAAATCGCAGAATTCGGAAACGAGTCGACGTGCAGATTCGATCGCAGCCGCAGCCGGAACTTTTCAATTTCGTCGGACAGGCCCAAGACCGCGATGAAGTATAAGAGCACTGCGAGATGCCATAAGATGCGCGAAGGCGTGTACATCACGATAACCAACACCCGAACGTGGGAGAATCGCATCGGATCCTCCACCTCCTTCAGGACTGAGAATACACAACGGCATACCGGAGAGATGAAAGCAGCGATTGTCAGGCCAACAACGACGGAGGCTCTTGCCGGAGTCCCGCGCGTACTCACGCTCAGGGCAACGTCGTACAGCTCACGCTCGAATTTCACGAGAAGAAAGTACGTATACAGCTGCGACACTGCGTTCAAGAGGTTCAGAGCGACTCTCATATATTGCGCGATGCTGAAAATACGGAACATGGTCGGCCAAAAGCGCAAAAGATAGATTATCAGGCCGAGCTTACTCCCAACGACGAGTGTCCGCGCCGTGTAAAGGAACGCACGATGACGAGGGCTGCAGTCGAACGGATATTTGACTCGGATACCGCATAACTCCAGGAATGAAGTCACAAGCCGCAGTTCCGGAGGGAGCAACATTTGTCTCTTTGAAGCGCTCCGGCTGGCACTCCCATGGACGATCGAGGTGGCGGATGACACAGAAATGCAGAGATCGTACGGTCATGTTCCTTCCCGTAGGGTGGAGTCACACGATGTCGGTTTCAGGTCGAGATAGATTGCGATGTGCTCATCAAGCGCTGCTGATGGCCAGCTCCCCTCCTTGTGTTAGAGCCATTGTGCAGTGCGAGGGGGAAATTGAGTCATGTCCAATGTCCTAACTGGCAGTATTGAGAAGCTTCGTGCCGACTCATTCTCAACTCGAGCTCCTCTGTGTGGGAATCTCCGCCTCTCCTGTCATAGTAGCCGTCATCAGGGATTATTGAAACAAGAAGTTGCCAATCCCTTGACTCGGCGGAGAGAACTTCGGCACCATTGAGTCAATCAAGTACGGCGTGGGTCCTTCTCCTGTGCAAAGCGAAAAACATCCGTCGGAAGAGTGGAGTTCAGATCCTCCAGGTGATTGAGCATGTTCTCGGGGGATAACTGTTTATGACTACACATGTACTTTCGCGACGCCTTTTACACTTAGAATGAAACTCTGACTCGCTCCTCTGCTCCTCATTCCCCCCTAATACCTAAGACCAGGGATTCCAAGGTTTATAAGCATGGTATCGAATGATCGAGACCGATACCTGGAGGAATGGCATCGCTTAGAAGCGGGTATCCTCTTTGCCCAATGTGGCTTGAGGGGTTGGCCCCTCAGTTCTAGGGGTTCGCATGATATCCAGGCGCTTGGACGCTGCCTTTCCGGGTTCTGCTATGTATCCTCTCGTGATGCTACGTTTCCGCGCATCCGATACTGGGCTGATCTAATGAATACATTTATTATCCGGTGATTCATTGATGCTCTGGTTGGAGAAGCGTCTACAATTCAGATCGAAGAATTTCGAATACTGGCAGCAGCGTGCAGCGCTCAATGGAGATGTGGACGAGCTTGTTGGGGCGAATGCAACATCCATAAACGGGTATACCATGATATAATCTACGCACGGCGGAGCTCCCTTCCACGAGTCAGTCAAGTACGTGTTGTGTGCCCTCCCTCCCCGAAGATATTCCTCTTGCTATGGCAACAGTGTGGCTTTTCCTTCCCTCCGAGGCTGCCGCCCTCACCGATAAGAGTGAGGGCATACTTCATTCGCACATGCGCACGCGGAGATCTCTCGCCTGCTAGAGGGCCACCGTGTTTGTGATCTAGCAGGGCCGATTCACCGTACCCTCCGGATTTGAAAAAAAAACGTACGCCTCTACCGAAATCTGGCATGAATATAACGGAAGTGCTGCATCCTAGATTTATATTATTCGGTAAGCTCCCCGAGTGAAAGTTTCGCGCCAGAGCCCTCCGAAACCAATCAGGTACGTGAAGAGAACGAGTTCAGCTGTCAAACCAAAAACACGAACCGTTCGATCAAGCGATTCTTACAGTGAATCTCTCGACTCACAATTGAAAAAGCCGACGATCCCGAATTCCAGCAGTTCGGAGGTCTTTTCCGCTGTTCTGTGATTGGGATCGTCTCCGGAGCGCCAGAGCGTCTGTCGAGAACTCGAACGGATTCGAGCAAAGTCGAATGATTCTCCATCGACAGTAAAGCAGCTGATAAGTCCGTGGGAACCCGAGGAGGCCCCAAGAGATGACCCAAGACGGAGTCGGATCACGGGCAACGAAGTTTCCAACAGCATGAGGCTGCGAGGAGAATTTTCGAGTCGGAGGTTGCAAACACGCGGAATGCAACATCAGCGATTGGATTGTTTTTTAGAGGCAGCGAAGCCCCACTGAGAGAAGCCCGACAGGCTACCAGCCAACGAACTTTGCCGTCAGCTTCTTGAATGACGTGAGCGTTCGGGTGAGATCTCAAATATCGAGATTGATCTCAGCTTCAGCTAATCTCCGTCCTCTCCTAAAATTTCCGACAATCAGCTCGACTAACGGCAGGACATATTCGGTTTCCCGACGTGAGCCAGTCGGGAAGTTTCTAAAATTCTCAGATGTCTGATCCCGACGACGGTTGAAGATGCAGTCAGATTCCTAGGATGACCTTGATCTAAATCGCATTGGACGATTAAAAATTTCTGACCATATCTGACTATCTATGTCGCTCCACGTTTATGCTTCCGAGCGATTCTCTTAATTGCTCCCTTTTCGAGCGGATCCTCGCGCAACGGAGCCGTCATGGTCGAAAGGTAGTTCAGAGCTAGTTCCAGACTCTGTTTGCATCGGTGACCCGCACTCGTTTTACGCGCGCTGAGCATCCAGGCCGAGAGCGCTCTTGGATTCTGAGAGACCTAGCGAAAGAATCAATGAAAAGCAGACAATCAATCAAATGTCATCTACGCAGTTGGGCAGAATATCTGTGTCTGGTGGTCGCGCGGGACTCGGAAGGTTCGAATAATTTTTGGATTAGAACCGCGTCTTTTGGAAGCAGGAAGCTGGCCAAGAGCGGAAGGAAGCAGGAAGTAGTCGATACGTAGAAGCTGAATCAGCACTCGTACCGTTGAGCTTGTTCAGTTTTCGGTCTGCCGCGGAACTCCGTGTATCAATCGACGAGTTTCACTTCCCGAACGTTTTCCGGGCAAAAGAGCTCCGATTTCGAGTCGTGGCAGACGACCGAGCACGATCCGCCGACCAACAGCTTCTCGATCGCGGGATGTCGATGACGATGAGCGAAGACTGCACCAATTTACCCGGAAACGGAGAAATTCCAGCCCTAGTTCTCCCGCTCCATAACAGTCGCTTTAAAACACCGCGTTTATCGATGCTGCTTTCGACCCATACAGAGGAATTTGTTTTCCCAAGAGAACAGGAGAGAACCCCAAACTCCCCAGAAATTCCAAAGTCTGATCGTAAAAACGCTCTCTACGGTGCACTCATTTAGGGCTCGTTGTTCACGTCGAAATGAATTCCAGCCAGCATAGCTGATTCCTGGAATATATCATGGGGAAAACAGATTGTAAAAGCGAAAACGGAAGCTGATTGATGACGCCGTCTGCGTGCTCACTTTGATCTCGGCGCGCTGACCCGAGGGACGGAATACCACAAAAATCGGACGTATATACTAAGATCAGCTGTCCAGCGACGCTCATCGGCGCGGACGTACGTATGTATATTAATCAGTCTCTCGACGCGGGCTCCTCGATCCGAGGAGTTCAGAGGACTCTCCAGAGATCCGGCCGTCTCGGAGCAGCACACGATACCCTGTCGTTCCATCGGACTACCTGGCTTGAGTAGCGTCAAACGAGCCGAGACGTTAATTCTACCTCGGCTATATTAGGAACAACAGAATTCTTGTCGCTGTCAGCGCTCTGTCGGTCAGGGATCCTCGCTGCTCCTCAGCTCAGAGAGGATTTCGTCCACGTCTCATGCAGTACGACCAGGCTTTCCGTCCCTTTGCGGAAACACCTTACAGAGAAAGACTGATTCAGTTCGATTTCATCCGCAGCGGCTGATCGAACAGACTCCGTGCTCTGGTGAATGAAAAAAATGGAATGAGAGGAGAGAACAGCGCGCGCTTCAAATCGCGGCCTCCTCGAGTGGCAGCCATTGATTTCTCAACGAGACTGCAAGGGTTTCCAATCGGTCGCGGGTCGCAGCTGTTTCTGGGACGAAGGGAAGAAA